ACACACACACAATATCTTCTCTTTATCCATTTTTCTATTGATGCAGAAACTATTTTAGTATGTGGATATGTACTACTGCGGTAGCCAGCCACCAAGATGGCCTTCAATTAACCCCATTAACTGGTATTCATACCTCATGCAGCAGCATTCTACATTGTACTATGGTCGTCTGTGTGACCAATAGAATGTGGCAGAAGAGATGCTATGTCATTTCCAATATTAGGTTGTTAAAGATGGCTTCCTGGGGCACCTGGATGGCTCAGTTGGTTAAGCACCCAACTCTTGATTTTGGCTCAGGTCATGATCTCACAGCTCTTGAGTTTGAGCCCCGTGTCAGGCTCGGTGGTGACAGTTCAGAGCCTGGAGTGGGCTTCAGATTCTGTGTCTCCGTCATTCTCTGCCCCTCCCCAGCTCATGCTCTCTCTCTCTCTCTCTCTTTCAAAAAATAATAAACATTAAAAAAAAATGGCTTCCTTCTAGCGCTCCCTTTCTCTCAGATTACTCATTTTGAACAGGGCCAGGGGGCAGCTGTCATGTCATGAAGATTCAGGCAGACTAAGCAGAGACTCAGGCAGACTAAGCAGAGGACCTTGTGGTGAGGAACTAGTCTCTGGCTAATAGGAAAGAACTGAGACCCACCAAGCCCCACTGTCAACTTGGAAGTAGATCCTATAACCTTCAGATGACTGTAGTTCCAGCCAACAGCTTGCCTACAACTTGTGAGAGACCCTGAGTTATGGCCACCTAGCTAAGCTGCTCCTGGGTCCTGATTCACAGAAACCATGATGTAATTGTTATTTAAAGCTGAAAATTTTGGGGACAATCTGTTATGCAGCAATAGATAATTAAAGCAACTACTTTTATAATTAGGACAGGTTTTATTTTTCTAAGAAAAGAGACACCTGTCCTTCAGAAAAAGAAAGGACTTTGGTTTGAGAATTTATTAAATAAGTCCTTGCTATTTGAGCATTTCCCCCCTCCATGCTTGCTTTCTTTAGAGTCACTATCTCAAATTCTGTTTGGGAAAAACATCTGTGCTAGAAAACATGGACTATTTAGTATTCTATAATTGTTACATTTTACAGTTTAGAAAAGTGATTTTCTGGATATCTCCAGATGTTTATTCATTGAAAGTGGTAGTTTAGGGGCAGGCCCCTTGGTGGCTCAGTCGGTTAAGCGTCTAGCTCTTGTTTTCAGCTCAAGTTACCATCTCAGGGTCATGAGACTGAGCTTCCCATGGGGCTTCAGGCTGAGTGAGGAGCCTGCTTAAGATTCTCTCTCCCTCGGTCTTTCCCCTGTCCATGAGTACTCTCTAATAAAAAAAGTGCTTCTTAAAAACAAAAACAAAAACATTTGTTTGAACTGCAGAGACATAAGTCATTATAAATAATTTGCCTGAAGAACGTAGGGGAGAAAAAGTGTAAGTGTGGGACTCAGAAGATGGGACTTCTAGTTCCATCTTGGTCACTAACTCTAAGGCCCTGAATAGCTCTGTGCTTCTGTAGATCCCAGTGTGGCTACCTTTGATATAGTGGGAGAGAAGTCAAATATCCTCTAACACACTTTTTATGTGTGATCCCCTAAAATGAAGGGAAAAGCCTCTTACACATTGACATATAAAATGCAACATGACATATATAGAATAAAAGATAAACATTGACATGAATTTTTTTATTACCAACTGCATCTAATTCTCAAAGTTCTACCTTTCATAGATCTTTTTGTCAAAATATCAGATGCAGATTTAACTTACTCTACTTGTGAAATATGCCATGTATCCCAACTGGCAGTCAGCACTTATCAAATGAGATGGCCAAATTTATTTTCCCATTAAAATTTTTCACTTCTTTTTCAATTCACATAAACACTTTTAGTATGTACTCTAGGATATAACTATCACTTCATAATTCTAATTTTTAGATGGATCTAGGGTAGATAATGGAGACTTGTGATGAATCAATGGCCCAGAAGGTATCAGACACCTCTCATGTCAGGTTCCTTCCTGCTTTTCTCTCAAAGGATTGTCCTATAAGACAATGCATTCTAGAATTGTCCCTTTGTTTATTTCCAGGTGGTTTTCATCTTCAAAGCAGTGTACCATAATGGGATGGATGAGTTCATACTTTCTTCTATAAAATAGAAGGGCAGACTGGGAAACAGGGGCATTTCTCAGCAGAATTTTAAGAAAGAATACATATACATACATTGGGGGTATTCTAATCACTTCAAGGTGCTGTAAGGCTCTTTATTCTGACTTCCATCATTCCTGTCATTATTTCTCATGTTATGAAAATGACATTCTCACATATAGATGATTTTTCAAAAAGATCTATTCAAATCGATATTTCTCTGTTGGGACAGTGAACCTGAGAGTGCTCTATGGGAAGACAGAAAGTTATGAAAGGCTGATTACTTAAAAGACAGGCGGAATCCATCACGTTACAGATTTACATGTGTGGTCTAGTCCTAGGGAAAAGATTACCTTTTCTTCCTGAGGACAAACAGGAAACTAGAAAACTATCTTTTGATACAGGATGGTGATACGGTAGTGATAAAGCTCTTCATATACTTAACCTGGTGACTGTTGTTTCCAATGGATCCTCTCCATTTCAACTCTTACTTAAAATGTTTGTCTTGAAGATTACCATTACCCTAACAGCAACAGGTGCAGCCCTTAAGTTTTCCAAGAGTTAGGAAAGAACTGTGTCATAAAACAAAGAGCTTGACCCAACAGTAAGATGCCTCCCACTGCTACTACTCAGAACAAGATATTTTAAAGACTAAAATCCCCTAGTTATAAATATAAACAAAGATCTATTTACATATGTACACTAGCTCTCCTCCAAACAGGGAGGAAATTGCGCTGAGGGTAAACACAAGAAGTGTGGAACAATGTATTTACATACCTAAAAACTGTTAATACGATCACTTCCTGGTGTTTGTGCTAACGTGCATGTATTTTGGGTCAATTTCCATTTCAATATGAAGACAACTGAGATGTGGTACTTATCATGGCAAAAGGAACAGAGTTGTTTTTATAGATGACAAGAGAGGAACCTTTCAAAATTCCGGACGGAGAAAAAAAGCCTAACGCTGAAATGTCGTCTGTGGAAGAAGCCGTGTGCTCTGAAGAAATAAAAGCTCTGAGAATATAAGCCCAGATTTTTAAAAAGCCATTTATTTTAAAAAACTGGTTTGTCAAATCACATACACGAGCAGATACACAACTACCAAAGTGGCCCTGTAATAGACACCAGTGGGGCGTTCACCACACAGTACCTGAAAAATACAGCTAAAAAAGAGGAGTCTGTTGAGTATTGAATTTCAGATACCTACTGGACTCCTTGTTGAATGGCTTTAAGTTAGCATATAGTGAGTGAGAGGTAGAGTCCCAAGTATAATAGCTGATGCCTCAGGGCTCCATTTAAAAACAAAACGAAAACAAAAACCATTTCCCCCTTCGCACAAGGGCAGCCTATCCTAATTTTTTTTTTCCTTTGTGAAAACGGAAGCCAAGTTTTCTCTTCTCAAATGGTTCAGCATTCCCAGTAAAAGTGTTGTGTGGTGGCCTATTGTGCTTCTTGAGCCATCTAATTTTCTTCACCTTCTGACTCAGATTCTAGGAGAGATGAGAGAGAAAAGTCAGGTTTTTTATTCAGAGATTCCTTTTGTAAAATGTCTATTAAGTAAACTTTATGCCCAACATGGGGCTCAAACTTTCAACCCTGAGATGGAGAGTTGAAGACTCTCTCAACTGAGCCAGCCAGGGGCCCCCAAAGACTCCTTTAGAGTCATGAAAGAGTTTCTAATATGCTACCTACCCCAACCCCCAAAAGGCATTGTTTTTTGCCCTGGTCATGCACTGACTAGGAAAAACAGTCAAACATTCATTCCTTTTTTGCTTTTAAATGAACTTTGCCTTTCCATTTTTTAATTTTTATTTTATTTGTTTATTTTTTAAACCATTTTATTGACCTATGACTGATATACAAAAAGCTATATATATTTAACATGTACAACTTGGTGAGTTTAAGATGTGGATTTTTTTTTTTTTTTTTTTTTTTTTTTTTAATTTACATCCAAGTTAGTTAGCCTATAGTGCAATAATTATTTCAGGAGTAGATTCCTTAAGCTCCTTACCCATTTAGCCTATCCCCCCTCCCACAACCCCTCCAGTAACCCTCAGTTTGTTCTCCATATTTATGAGTCTCTTCTGTTTTGTCCCCCTCCCTGTTTTTATATTATTTTTGTTTCCCTTCCTTTATGTTCATCTGTTTTGTCTCTTAAAGTCCTCATGAGTGAATTCATATGATATTTGTCTTTCTCTGACTGACTAATTTCACTTAGCATAATACCCTCCAGTTCCATCCATGTAGTTGCAAATGGGAAGAGTTCATTCTTTTTGATTGCCGATAATAATCCATTGTATATATTTACCACTTCTTTATCCATTCATCCATCAATGGACATTTTGGCTTTTTCCATACTTTGGCTATTGTTGATAATGCTGCTGTAAACATTGGGGTGCGTGTGCCCCTTCGAAACAGCACACCTGTATCTCCTGGATAAATACCTAGTAGTTGAACTTTGCCTTTCTAATAATGCAGCATGCTCATAAATATTATTGAAGACTGTAATTACTTTTATCCTTCTGGGTCATCTAAAATAAACTTCTCAGGCTTAGTGGGACTCACTCTCATCCATTATTATTCTCCCACCTTGTGTTCCCATTTTCAGCACCAGTCAACTGGTTAATAATAATCCCATAATGTGTAATTGAGCCAAATACTTTTTTTCCTCCTTTCACAACTGCTGATGATTTCTTCCCCCTTGTCTCCTATAGGGTGGATAATTGAAAAGGCTGTCTTTTGTTTTTTAACACATAGCACTTTTCATTGCTTTGATTTCAGAAAGGAAGGCTAAGATTATAGGCAAGATGCTTGATATGGAAGACACCCTAAGACCTTCAGTTTTAGAGAAGCAACTACAACAACAAAAATCTGTGCAAGAGGTAGATACCTTAAATTATAATGAGAAAGTATTTGCTAAATGACCACCAAAGTCGTTAAATGGAATCATACCTTCTTCTGCGTTTTGTAGCCACTCAACGAATTTCTTCATCTGGTCAAGAAAAACACTTTTGCCTTTGGCAACATGTGCTTCTTTGTACCATTTCAATATTGCTTCTTCACTCAGTACATCAGCTGCAATTTCAAAGCAAAGATTTCCAAGTTACTACATAAATATGATGTTTTTGTAAAAAAAAGCAACTTTATGTCTCATAATTTAATAGAAAGCAATGACTTTAAATATTAAAAGTGCTGTTATAAAAGAACTCCATATCTGACACTTATCAAGAAACAGGAACCAAGCTCATTTCCAATATAGCACAGTGCTGTATTTTGGGAGTTAGCTTGGCAAATACTTTAGTGATGACGACGATATACATCTCATCAGGTATGATATATTGCAAGCTTATCTGTGAGTCACTACTGGGACTTGGAAGTCTTTCTCAGTGCTAATTTGCTGGTAGGAAACTGGGTTATTTTGTAATTTTGCAAATGAATCAGCAATTCCAGCGATTCAGAACACTATGTGTCCTGCCAACTCCAAACACGTCTTGATTAAATAGCAACCTCAAATGACTGGTCTTTTAAGGCGATTTACTCTTTTAGGAGGAAAAAAATAAAAATGGCAAATAAAAACACATAACTAGAATGTAATAACGCTATTTACAATTAAATATGAAGATCAGCTTTCTGGGTGTATCACAGGACCAATACAGTCAAAATCCTATTTTACTCTCTTTTTTTTTTAAGTTTATATTAAGAGTGTGAGTGGGGGAAGGGGCACAGAGAGAGAGAGA